AACACACTCCTCCTAACACCTAAGCCAGACAGGAATGTTAAGAGCTTCAGAAGAAACAGGTGAGAAGTCCCCAAGTGGATGTGAAGGGGGCCAAACAATTCCTTATTCACTGCAGAGTCTAGGAGTGAAAAGTGGGAAAGAACCTCAGAGCCCGTCACCAGCTGTCCTGTGAAATAAGGGAATTTCAGCTGCCCAAACCATTGGAGATTGTTTTTAAAAGACTTCTGCTCCCCCTTCTTTCTTGGCCTTATTTTTCTCTGTAGCACCCCTCACCCTCGACAGACAAGATCACCTACTCAGGGAACTCATTTCTCCTTAAATTCTCCCATGGAATGTCAGCCCAGGAGGGCAGGGATCTTGGTCTGCTTTGTCCCCTGTCATGTTGTTGGCATACAGTAGTCAGTCTGTATTTATAGAAAGAATAAGGTTGAGCCACCCACACTGATTCAAGTTCCCAAGTGCACTGTGTGATCCTGTGAAATGGTAAAGCTGTAAGAGCAACCCACAGACTCAAAGCGCAACTTTGAGTAGCCCCTGAAAACACAACCCGTGGGCTTGGTTTCTGCAGGTCAGGGTCTCTACTCTGCATGAGGTAACAGAAGCCCAAGACTGGATTGCCAGTGAAAATTTAGAGCAGAGTCCCAGTGAACTGTGACTTAGCACTGAAACCCCCAGGCTCCCCAGGGAGAAGTCTTGAGGACTTTTAGTCACTGTTCCTTTCTCAAGAGGCTCTGAAATGTCACTCGACAATGCTGTTAAAGTGTCAGGGGCCTAGGGTTGGATCCTAGCTTTTTTGCTTCTTTGCTATGGGCTGTGGGTGAGTGACTTTGCCTCTGGAACAGTCCCAGCCCTTGGGGCTGCAGAAATGGAACCTCAGTTTCCTGAGCTGTAAAGTGGGGTTATTGGAGGTAAGATTATTCTTAATCCATTTAAGAGGTTAGGAGAGTGAGTGTAAATGGGTACGAAGTTTCCTTTTTAGGGAGATGAAAATGTTCTAAAATTAGGTTGTGCTGATGGTTGCACATCTATAAACACACTAAAATTCATTGACTTGTACACTTTACTGTTCAAATAAAAGACTGAGAAAGCCCTCAGACGTCCATCTCTGACCTCTCATCACCTGCTGCAAACCCCAACCTGCAGAGCCAGAGGACCCCTCAAACCTCAGCCCCCAAATCTCCGAGCCCAGCTCCTTGTCCCGAAGGCCAGACTGGTGGAGGAGATCTGTCTCGCCTGTACCTCTCCTTGACTCCCCACCTTTGGTCCCTCACCAAGTCCTGGTCACTCTGCTCTTCAAATATTTGTCTGCCCCTCCCTTCCTCTATGCAGCCACTGCCCACAATAAGTGTGGCCTGGACAAGGCCCTCAGCCAAGTGCTCTCTGGATTCCCGTAAGTCTAGCCTTCTGCTACCTAGATCCCTGGCCTGCTCACGCACCCAAACATGGCTCCCTCTCACCCCGAGGAGAAGTTCCCAATTCCTCAGCCTGGCAGCGGAGGACCTGCCAACCTCAGCTCCAGCCTCACCAATCTGTTGATGTTCAGCTCCTCCTAAGCGTCGGCCCCTCCCAAACCCAATTCAGCATGTTTCCCCACTCCGAACTTTTGCCCAGACTGTTCCCTCTGCTCAGAATGCCTGTCTACCAACTCCTATGCATTCCTCAAGGCCCAGTTAGGGATCACCTCCTGTATGAATCACCAGTCTAACCTTTCTAAAGAAAGCTTAGCCACCCAGGGATGCCCCTCACCTTTATACTGGGTGTGGGGCAGGACCAAGCTAGAGTCTCTCCTAGGTGATGCCCACTGCTACTGTGCCAGCTCTCTGCTCCATTTCACAGAGGTGGAAACTAAGGCAAAGTCCGGTGCCCAGAGTCACAGAGAGAGAAAGTGGCAATGCCAGGACTCATACCTAGAGCGCTGGGCTTTCAACTATCAAGTCCAGCTATGGAAGGGTCTTCTGCGAAGTTTCCCCGGGGTTTTCAGAGGCCACTGGAAATGTTTGGGGACTTCCCTCACCTGGCCAGCATCTGCTCAAACATGTTCCAACTCAAAAGCAAAGCTGACATTTGCCTAAAGTCTTCCTTGCCCGGGCACCGTGAAGATGGAACGTCTTCCATGCCTCACTGCGTCATGATACCATCCCAGGAAGTCTCATGTGAAAGTCAATCGAGAAGTCATGTCCCCCACAGTCACCTGGTTAGTAAAGGGCATGCTGGGACTGGAATCCAAGGCTGTCTAATCTCAAAGCCAGTTGGCCAATTCTCTTCCTTCCCTCCTCCCTTCCTCCCTCCCTTCCTCCCTCCGTCCCTTTCTTCTTTCCTGCCTTCCTTCCTTTCTCTCTCTCTTTTCTTCTTTCTTTCTTTCTTTCTTTCTTTCTTTCTTCTTCTTCTTCTTCTTCTTCTTCTTCTTCTTCTTTTTCTTCTTCTTCTTCTTTTTCTTTTTCTTCTTCTTCTGTAAACCCTTTAATTTACCTTTTCGGTTTGTTTTGTTCTAATTTAAATTTTATTTATTGCTTACAGTCATAGTAACTCATTCTCACAGTTTAAAATGCCCAAAGTGAGAAAAGAAGCGGGAGAAAACTCGCTCCTTGCCCCTGACTCTCCGAGAGCCCCCAGCCTCTCTCTCCACAGCCAGATAATACGGTCATTTCTTTCAGTAAGCACAGCCTCCCTTGTCAGGCTCTGACCCTCCCTAACACCCAGGATGGCATGCTGCTCATTCTGCGTATATCTTACTTTTTTTGAACTTGACTATACACCTTGGAGCTCACTCTCTTTGGGGACACAAGGAGCGTCCTCACTCTTGTACATAGCTGCATTCTCTTCCATTGTATAGTGGAACCACAGTTTATCTCCCAGCTCTGGACATCTGAGTGGCTTGCAAACTTTTGCCATTCCAAATAAAGCCACAATGAATAACCCTGTCCCTCCTGCCCCAGTTCCCTTGTGAGTGGGGACACATGTAAGCCCAATTCCCAGGAGTGGGGTTTCTGTGTCAAAAAGACACGTGTATGTGTCATTTGAAGAACTGACGCCCCTCTCCCTTTCGGGGGTTGTGCTTCTTTATGCTTCCACACTGCAAGCAATGTCCTAGGACTGCCTGCTGCCCTCAGGTCTTGCCAGCACAGCTGTTATCAATTTTTTTGATTATCATCAATATGTGAAAAATGCCATCTCAGGGCTAGTTTTAATTTGCATCTTTTTTAAAAAGCCAGATCTAAGGCTTTGTCGCATGGTTAAAGATTGAGGCCTAGAGAGCCAGCATTCTCAAATGTGCTGAATCCCTGTTGAATCTCTAACTGCACCCAAGGAAATTCAAGGAAGGGTCTCAAATGACAAGGAGGCTCTCGGAAGGCGTGCTCACCTGCCCTTCAGTGAGACCCTCCTTTACCCCATCACTAAGCAACAAAGGCAGTCCCAGCCTGCAGGGGGGCTCTCCTGCCCACTCCCCTGCCCCGCCTACCTAGTCCAGCCCCTCAGCCCACTCACTCACAGAACACGGTGAGGGATGTTGTAGCTATCGTCTGCTTATTGTGACAGTTTGAGAAGCATATTGGAGCACTGTCTTCTTGTACATTACTAAGTTCATAGGTCTTCCGGTTGTTCCCATGGGCCACTTCCCTCTTCATTAACTGAGTCTCCAGACCAAAGAAAGTATCTTCGTCACAAGTGGCAATGCAGGTCACCTGCACGGAGCCTCCTCGTGGTATGATGGCTTTTGGGGGTTCCACTGATATTTGGGCACCTCCAGGCCCTGGAACAAAAGTGTGAAGAGGGAAATAGAATTCATCAACATTTCTGGGTACTCAACCTTGAACAAGACAGACTTGAACTCTCTGCCTTCAGTGTAGGAGACAGAAAAATTCATGAACAAACAAGTTAATTAATAACTGATGTTAATAAGAGCTTTGACAAAAACAAAACAGGATGATAGAACAGACAGTGCTTTGGCGACAGAGTAATGTGTGAGCAGAGATCTGAATGATGAGAAGGGGCTGGCCATCCAGAGAAAAGGGAACTGAGTTCCAGGCAATGAGGACCAAGTGCAAGCGTCCTGGGGCAGGATGTCTGGAGCCAAGTAAGCAAGGGGGAAAGAGTTGGGAGAAATGAGGTCACGAAGGTCATACAGGCAGTGTAAGCCATGCCAAGAATGTGTTTTTCATTCTGAGGGCAACAGGGAGCCATGGGAGGATTTCAGCAGAGGAGGGACGTGGTGGCGTCAGTGTCTTCCCTCCCAAGAGGTCACGTGGAGAGGGCTAGCCCTCTGCGGTTGGGGGGTTTCTAATCAGGCTGGTTCCTCACTCTCTTGGACAAGTGGTCTCCCCTCTCTGGGCCTCAATTTTCCCATCTGTAAGGTGGGTGAATATAGTCACCCCGTCCCCTGCTAACAAGTAACTCCCAGATAAGAAGGAAGTGGATTCTAAGCTCCCTCAGACCCTGGTGCCTCCAAAGCTAAAAAAAATCTGTCTGTCTGAGCCCCTCCCTTCTACCCTACCTCCAAAGATTCCTGCCCTCTGCTTTGGGCCCACTCTTTCTGGAGTGGGGTATGTGTGAAACAGCTCTCCAAGAGTGATTCTGGGATCATTCCCATTTCACAGGGGGAACAGCTGAGGCCTGAAGAGGGGAGGTTACTCTGACAGAAAGTAGTAGAATCTGAATTGGAGTCCCCTTTAGAACACTTTGTGGAGCTGGTAACCACAAATGTCCATCTTCTACTCTCTTGCTCCCCACCCTTTGAAACTGTCCCCCTCCTCCCCTCCCTCCAGGCTGGCCTTGCCGGAGGGCAGTTGGGGAATCTCACTTCTCAGCCTCTGATGCCTTGGCAAGCCAAGCCAGGAATTCCCCTGAGTAGAAGCAGGTCTGGACTTTCCCAAGGCCCCGGGAGGAGGAACAGAATAAGCAAGGGAGCAGGGAGAGGGTCCTCAGCCTGTTCAGGAGTTCTAATCCCCTTGCAGCTGGAGTCTCAGTTTAATCCTCTATGGAATGGACACAATAACAGTCCCTACTGTCCAACAGTAGCTGTAAAGTGCTCAGAGCAGTGTAAACATAGAATCAGTGTTAAACGGACTGGGGGATGGGACCCCCAGGGCCGGAGACAGGACCCCTAGGGCTGAGCACGGCCCCCAGGGCTGAGCACGGCCCTCAGGTCGCTGCCGCCACTGCGGCCAACCACATCTCACACCACCTGACCCCCTCCTGGGGGCAGGCACAGCGCTGAGCCAGGGCACAACCACAGCGAGGTGATCGCTATTACAAGATCCGTTTTACAGCTGAGAAACTGAGGCTCCATGAGGCTGACTATAGCCCGAGGCCACACATCTAGGGGACGCAGGGTCGGAATTTGAACCCATGGTGGTCGATTTTCAATGGGTGGCTCTAGACACAACTTCCTGCAAGCAGCTACCTAAGTACGTACGAATAACCTTGTCCTCAGTCAGCAGGGAGCTGGTCGCCACTCACCCCCCGCCCCAAACCCCAACTACCTAAGTACGTACGAATAACCTTTTCCTCAGTCAGCAGGGAGCTGGTCGCCACTCACCGCCCCCCATACCCCCTAACCCCGCCACTGCCCCAAGGGTGCAGCCCCAGTCCCGGCGCCGGCCGGACGGCAGCCCCCACCCCCGACTCACCTGGGAGCAGAACCCCGAGCAGGGTCAGGATCGCAGGCAGCGGGAGTTGGGAGGCTCCAAGAGACATAGCGACGGAGGTAAGAAGGACCCCGGGGCGCAGCACGGACTGGGTGCCAGAAGCACTCTGGTCCTTTATAGCAGCTGACCACGGGGACTCGGGCAGGGGGGCGGTGCTGCCTTCCCGGAAACCTTGCGTCTTCTCCTCCGAAACGAGGGCTCGGGCATTTCCGGGTCGAAAGGGTGCCGCGCCGAGCCAGGTTGTCCGCCCCCCCCGACTCCCACCCCCGCGCCACAAGAGCTCCGGAATTTCCGAATTAAAGCAATGGGGCCACAGTGGCGGCATAGATCCAGGCGCTGCGCTCAGCCCTGGGGGGCCGTTCCCTGGCTCGGTTAACCTTGAATCAGTGTTTACACTGCTCTGAGCCCTTTACAGCTAATGTTGGACTGTAGGGACTGTTATTGTGTCCATTCTAGAGAGGATTAAAGTGAGGCTCCAGCTGCAAGGGCCTTCAAACTCGGGTCTAACTCCCCAGCGCCTCCAGGCTTCCTGAACCAAGTGGATGATACCTTGCTGGCATGGGATACCGGGAATACTCTCGGGGCGCACTCCATCAAGGAAGCAGGCCCAGGTACCTCTAGTCATCAGCAAACCCTGGAGGGGCGTCTTCACGTCCCGGGATCCGCAATGCCCAACCCGTGAGCGCCCCCACCCCCGCGACCTCGCTTCTCCTTTTGGCCTTGGGCGCGGGGGCGTCTTTTACAGCCTCCAGAAAAGGGAAGGAAGCCACGTGGTCCTGGCGCACTGAGTCCCCCGCTGCGGTTCCCAGGCTCCGCGGCCAAACCTAGGCAGCCCACCTAGAGGTGGGAGGGGAGGGCCTCGAGTCCTTGCCTTCCCAAGGGAAACTGAGGCAGCTCCTAGGACCTGAAGTGGGGAGGAAGCAGCGGGTGCTCAAATGCCTGTCCACCGAGCATGGCTCCCGAAACTCGAACCACTGACGCTAGCGCTAAAAGTGTGCAGGGATTTGCGCCGGCTAGTTCCATTAGGGCTTTGGGGTCTTTGAGAGGCCCGGCGCCACGTCTACCGGCCGCTCCCCACATCACCCACTCCCGAGGTCACAGCCTGTGCGTGTGACTCCAGGTCACATCCACCAGGTCGAGGCTGGGAACTCTGGAGTCTCAGAGCGCCAAGCCGCGTCGCCCCAGGCTTCCTGTTGTGGGGCGCGCGCTGCGTCGCCATGGAGATCTCCGAGCCGACTAGGAGGTAGCCTAGCAGAAGGGAAAAGGAGGGGGCCCGGGAAAGCCCCTGCCCTTCCTCTGGAGAATGGAGCTGAGCTGCTCGTCATCCAAAAACGAGTCCCTCCTCGTGCCCAGATCGTTCCTAAGGAATTTCCACGGGGATTTTTCTCCTTAGGGGGGTGGAGGGTGCCGAATACCCGTCCTGGGCAAAGGCGCGACGCAGCGTGGGAACCCGGGACGTCCCTACTCCTCGTAAGGTCTGGGAAAATCCTGCGCGGAGTGTTATTTCTTGGATTTTTCTCGATTCGAACACGGATTGCCTTGACCTTGGTTCGAAGTGTGCCGGCAAGATCCCCCCTGTAGCCATAAAAGCGTCATTCTTCCTTATTGCTCCATACCGCTGAGCAGTGGTGACTGAACGCCTGTTGGGTACCAGGCATCCTTCCAGGTGCTGGGGACACAACAATGAACAGAACAGACAAAAATTTCTGCCATCGTGCAGAGTTGGTCTTGGTGGAGCAACAGACAAGGGTAAAAAAAAAATGTATAGAGCGTTAGCTTGTGATTAGTGCTAAGGAGAAAAATAAAAGGTGGAAGGGGATAGGAAATATGAGGGTTAACGGACTTCTAAATAGAATATTTAATAAGTGGAAAAGACTGAGAAGTTGACATTTGAGCAAAGATCAGAGGGAGATGAGGAGGGAGCAGGGACAATATTAAGAAGGAAGTACCAGGCAAAGAGCACCGCACGTGCAAAGGGGCCTGAGGTAGGAACTGCCTTAAGGAACAGCGAGGAGGCCAGTGTGGCTGGAATGGTCAGGCAGGGAGAGTGTGGGAGGAAAGGGCAGGGAGGGGTGGGGCAGAGCACGTGGCACTTGTCGACTTGGGAGGGACTTTGTCTTTTCCTCTGAGTAAGATGGGAGCTGTGGAGGGTTCTGAGCAGAGGAGGGACAGACCCTGATTCAGGTTTTTACAGGAGCCCCCCTGCAAGACCTCCAGTCAGGGGGTGGGAGGACAGAGTGGAAGCCAAATGGGAGAGAAGACAACTGCTATAGCTCAGGTGAGTAATGATGAGGCCTGGGCTGGGCAGTGGCATTGGAGAAGTGGTAGAATGTGGCATCCTTTTTGGCAGCAGGGCCAACTGGACTTGCTGGAACATGGGCGCAGGGCAGAGTCAAGGATGACTCCTTGGTCCTGGTCTGAGCCCCTGGGAGGATGAAGAGCCATTTCCTGAATGAAGATGGGATGATAATGGGCAGCAGGTTGGCAGGGGGAGCATGCCCCACTTGGTCTGACACTCCCTTTGCATTCTTTCAAGGAGAAGGGAAGCACTTGGTGCCCAACCCCTTGTTGCAGTTTCCAGGAAGGGCGGAGTTTCCTCCAGGATGCCAGGCAGTCTCGGGCAGGCCGAGGAATGAACTCAGGGACGAAGTTTCCATGCCTGACTCCATGGCATCATCCCCGCTCTCCTCTCACTCTGAGCTCTGGCGTGGCCAACCTTGCAGTTCCCTCAGCCTGGAGTGCTCGTCCACTCATCACCAACATGGCTGACCTCCCCTTTTTTGTGGCCTGAGCCTTCGCCCAAAACTTTCCCGAATGCCCCCCACTCTGGATCCTGCGCCACACCCTGTTCACTCTCTGTCCCTTGCCCTCATGGTTTCATTAGTGAAACTTGCTGAAATTCTTTTTGATTTACTTGATTGTGACCTCCATTTCTGTGAGCTCCAGAAAGGCAGGGACCCTATCCACTCCAGAATTGAATCAATTAATGGCTATTACAGCAGGTGATCAATACATACTTATTGAATAATTGAACTTCTTGCCTCTGAACATTCTGCACATGCTGTTCCTCCAGCCCAGAATTCCCTTCCCACGTCTTTTACAAAAGGTTCCCAGAACATTTCATTCACAAGGTTGGTGTGCAGGTAGTTTATCTGGGAGGTAATCCCAGGAAACAACGGGGGCTGGGGGAGTCAGGGAAGGGAGCATTAGTGAATTTCCCCTCTGGTGGCATCTGGGATCCAGCTCTCTGGGGAACCTTTGGAGATGGATAGACTCTACGTCAACCCTTTCCCTCATTAGGTAAAGACCGCTCCAGGAATAATGTCAACTTCCCAATACTAGATATATGTATATATGTATATACATACATATATATGTATGTATATAATTTTTAAGTCACCATGCTGTACATAACATCCCCAGGACTTACTTATAACTGGACGTTTGTACCTTTTGACTCCCTTCACCCATTTCTCCACCTCTACCTCTGGCAACCAACAATATATACAAAATAAGGTTTGTTTTTTTTTTAAAGATTCCACGTATAAGTGAGACCATACAGTATTTGTTTTTCTCTCTGATTTATCACTTAGCATAATGCCCTCAAGTTCCATCTATGTTGTCACAAATGGCAAGAGTTCCTTCTTTTTTATGGTCGAGTAATATTCCATTGTGTATATATAATAACCACATCTTCTTTATCCATTTATCCATCCATGGACACTTAGGTTGTTTTCATGTCTTGGCTATTGTAAATAATGCTGTAGTGAACATGAAGGTGCAGATCTGTCTTCCAGATAGTGATATCATTTCTTTTGGATAAATACCCAAATTAAAATTGCTGGATCATATGGTAGTTGTTTTTAAAATTTTTTTTTGAGGAACATTCATGCTGCTTTCCATAATGCCTGCACCAAAAATTCACATTTTTGCTTTTTAAGAGTTTTCTAGTATATTCACAATTTTGTACAACGGTCACCACTACTTGATTCCAGAATATTTCTATCACCCCAAAACATTAACCTGGTACCTCCCCATCCCCCATTTTCCCCAAATCCTGACAACCACTAATCTACTTTCTTTTTCTATGGATTTGCATATTCTGGACATTTCACATACATGGAATTGAACAATATGTGGCCTTTCATGTCTGGCTTCTTTTACTCAGCCTAATGTTTGTAATGTTTAGCATAAGGATTCATCCATGTCATAGCATGCATCAGTATTTCTTTCCTTTTTTGGCTCAATAATATTCCATCGTAAAGATATATGACATCTGTTTATCCATCATCTGCGGATGGACACTTTGGCTGTTTCCACCATTGGCTATTGTGAATCGGGCTGCTATGAGCGTTTACGTGCAAGTTTTTGTATGAACACACTTTCAGTTCTTTTAGGTATAAGATCTGGGAGTGAAACCGTTGGGTCACATGGTAATCTCAAGCTTAACTTTTTGGGAACTGCCAGACTGTTTTCTACAGTGGCTGCGCCATTTTACATTCCTACCAGCAATGCACAAGGGTTTAAGAGTTTTCATTTTCCACATCCTTGCCAGTACTTATTTTCTGTACTATTATTATTTATTTATTTATTTATTTATCTATTTATCTATTTATTTATTTATTATTATTATTGCCATCCTAATGGAGGGGAAGGGGTATCTCATTGTGGTTCCCCTTCTGATCTGCCCAGTGAACAAGCCCGGCACCATCCTGCAGCGTTGGAAACTGGCGGTGTGCCTGGGACAGCAAGTGCCATGGGGATGTCGTCGGTCAGCCTGCTCAAAACACCTGCCACAAACTGTGACTTTGAGCAAGCCACTTCCCCTGGTTGCACATTAATGGCCTCAGCTGTAGAAATGGGATGATTAACACCATACCTCAAAGAATAAATGTGAGATTTCAACAAAACAATTTGTGTGTAGGGCTTGGCACAGCCAAGTGCAGCACGGTAACAGATAATATTTACTGTTTGTTTCTTTAGGACTCAGCTCTGAAAAATTTCCCCTCACACTTCCTAGGCAGAAATACATGCTTCCGCTTCTGGGTTGTTACAGATCTTGTTTACACTGGCATTACAGCTCCCCCTAACGGCCGTGCTGTGTAAAGGAAAAATTCATGACGTTTGGATGTCCTCAAAACACAACTTTTGCTTCTCCCTCCACCGCTTAATTCTGTGGTAGAAGCTTGCCTTGCCCCAGCTGAGAATTCTGCCCAAGACTCAGGTCCAGATTAGCGTTGCTCCAAATCTCTGAATTTGACTTATGTCAAATGGGAGCCCCAGGTCAGGCCTCTCCAGGCTGGAGGCCTCAAAGGGAAGAAAAGCTTGGTCCCTCTGCCATTGACCTTCTTCCTTTCCGCCCTGCCCCTTCTCACCAGGTCCCTCCTGCCCAGGTACAGGGAGGAGGGGACAGGGGACGGGGCAGTTCCTCCTTGGCTATTAGCTTTGCCCTCTTCCGACGATGCAGCAGTGTGTTAAAGTGGCGTCCCTGGTGGATTCGGTGGGTATATGTTTTGGGGAGCTCTTTGAAGCTTCCTCTTTTCTGGGGACTCCTTCGCTGGGGTAGGGCATCTTTGATCTGGGTTGTGGCTCTTTCCCCAGCCCCTGGGGTCTGATCCTACCCCTCGTCCCTCCCAGGGGTCCTCCAGGACCACCACCAATAAGCAGACCTTGCTCCACCATCAGAGCTGCCAGCCTCTCACCCTCTGGGTTTCCTGGAAGTCAGATCTCAGCTCCATCTGATCACTTTGGTTTTCCTAGCCTGAGTCAGCATGATTCCTGGGTGGCCTTTATAAAGGACACTTTTCAAAGGCTATGGCATCTCTTCCTTCTCTGGGCTCTGGGTTAGCCCCTGTCCCAAAGTGGGATGGAGACTTGCAGGTAGCCACAATTCCCCCTGAAGAAATGTCTTCACCTATCACTTAAAAAAAAAAAAAAGTCTTCTTATTGTAGAGCACTTCAAAGATGACAACAAAGAGGGCACATGATAAAGCTACATGTGCCAGCTCCCACAGTTCTCATGGCCATTCTTGTTCTACTTTTCCCCTTACATCCTATCATGGGTTCAACTGTTTTCTCCTCTCCACCAAAAAAGAAAAAAACCCAACAACCCCCAGTACCTGTGCATGTGACCTTATTTGGAAATAGGGTCTTCCCAGATGATCAAGTTGAGGTCATTAGGGTGGGCCCCAACCCAAGATGACTGGTGTCCTTATAAAAAGGGAAAACTCGGACAGACACGCACACAGGGATGCCATTTGAAGAAAGGGCAGAGATCAGGGTGATGTCTACAAGCCAAGGGTTGCTAAGGAATGCCAGCAAACCACCAGAAGCCAGGGGAGGGGAATGGGACAGATAATCTAGTACAGCCTCAGAAGCCAACCCTGCTGACACCTCGATCTTGGACCTCCGAAGAGAGGCTTCCAGAATTGTGAGCTGGTACGTTTCTGTCGTTGAAGCCCTACCCCTGGCCCCCCACTCCTGGTACTTTGTTACCTCAGCTTGAGCACACATTCTCCCCAACTCCCAATTATTTAAAATCACATTGTAGATGTCAGATCATTTTTTTCTGATGCTTTTTTCCATCCTGATCTGCCTGAGGGATTCCAGCCCAGGGGAACGAGTTCTGGCCCATATTTTGAAACTCGACATGGGCAGGGAGGGTTTGGTCTCACCCTGTTCCCTGATGGCTATGCCACAGAGAGCTGAGCACATTACTCCTAGTTCTATCTAGACTAGGCTGGGTACCGTCAGGACAACAGCACGGTCTTACTTTAGGCCTTGATGCCCCACTGGGCCTCCAGAGGCAGAGGGAGGGAGGGGCGGGTAACAGTTTGGCTCAAGCCCACACAGCAATTCCTGCCTGGCCCCTGCGCCCCTTCTTACTACTGGCTCCAAATGGCTTTTTCTTTTATAGTCAGTCATATCTGGTGCTTTAAGGATCAAAATTTATGTCCATGGAGATTTTCAAAGAATGTGTTGCAAGCTCTGAGGGCACTCCCAAGAGAGGCATTCCGGAGATGTTTTCAGCAAGGGTCAGCCCAGCTGATGGGTGGTCACTGTGGCGGACTGGCCAGGCCCGCACATGCAGATGGCAGTCTCATCTAACTTCAAAGAAATTGGCCACATGATTTTATAGTCTGTTTAAAAAATTAACTTTGGGGGAGGGGGAAATGACATTAGCAGACTCAAGGTAACAGTTTGGTGTTTTTAAACATGTATTTATTCACTCGTTTATTGACCACATTGATTCCGACTCTGCTCAGGGGAATCACTGTAATGACAGTTCAGGTTTGCATATGGCACCTACTCATGGAATCGAGACCACACATGGGACTAAAGGACACTACCAAATGGGACCGCAGACGCTGTCAGGGATGCGAGTACATGATGAGTGCCCAGGAACCAGGAGGTGCCAGGAACAGGTTTGTGGGGACGGGCAGCACTCATGCTCCTGCGCGCTCCTGGAGGCTGCCCCACCCAGGGAAGCAACTCTGAGTCACTTCTATAAACAGTGCTGAGGAGAGAGGTACTGGCGGTGCCCAGCCCCGGGGCAAGAGCCCAACTTGCCAGATGGAATTGTTCACAACATGACAATGAGCTGTTCTGTTTCTCCTCTGTGATTAGAAAAATAAAATTTATCTTAACAACAGAAAAGAGAGAATTGGGCAGGAGCTTGGTGAGGCTCTCTGCCGAGTTACCCCTTCCGGGTCACGATACCCATCCGGCCACACTGTGGGCTCACCTTCTTACCGGGATGAGGGGTCTGGGCAGTGCGACTCTTGCAGGGTGGGTGTGAGGCCCCCAAACCCACCAGGGGCTTGGCCTGGCTCAGAGCAGGCACCTGGCATGGAGCTGTGCAGGAAGGGCAGCCACTGTGCCCTGGGGGGCATAGGGTGGGGGCTCATGGGAAGTCACGGTAGGGAAGGCGGAAAGGGTAGAGGGGCGTATAGCGTGAGTCATGCCAGAGCAGCTTCTCCTCCAGGAAGGCAACAGTCTGCAGGGTCAGGACCAGCGTCTGGTGCTTCAGCATGCTATGCACGTTCAGGCCTGGTGTGGGGGGAGGGGGTCAAGGTGGGTACAGTCAGGGTGGAGCTGCACCCCACATCTGGAGCCCCTTTCCCTCCTCTGGGGAGCGCTGGCGTGGGGTCATGAGCCCTGTGGATTGGGATTTAAACTCTGGCTCAGACGCTCACTGCTGGGGAGACCCTGGGCAGGGGACTGTATTCAGCCTGTCAATGTGGCATGCCAGGCTCTGCCCTCTGCTTGGCAGTGATTCCCATTTCACACTCCAGTGGGTGGGTACAGACCATAGAGCAGATGAATAAACGAAGGGCAGCGAGTGTGGCTGCAATTAGCGAGGGAGCATGAGGGGAGGGCAGGGTGGGGATAGAGCAGGTCATGCAGGATCTGGGGGGCCTCAGGGTGGACCTGGGCTTTTCCCCTGAAAGTGGTGGGAGCCATGGAGAGTTGTGAGCAGAGGGATGTCCCACAGTCAGGTGCTCACAGGCGCCCTCTGTTGGCTGTGTGTGTGTGGGGGGGGACAGAGTGTAGGGATGAGGGTAGAGGGGATTATACTGGTCCAGGGTGGGGCTGGCCCAGGGTGGTTAAGAGGTGTGTTTAAAGACAGAGCCGACCGGGTGAGCTGACCGACGAGTGGAAGGTGACACTGCAGTGTGGGGCTTGACCTGAGCCACTGGAAGGAAGGAGATACTAAGATGCCTGTGAGACCCCTTTGTGCAGCTATCCAGGAGGCAGCTGGACATGCAATGAGAAGACTGGGAGAGAGCTCTGAGGATCAGTCAACGTGGTGATGGGTATAACGTGCTCAGGACAGACCTGATCTGGCCTGTCCAACTCTCTGAGTGAGGAGCCAGACAGGGACAGCCAGTGGGCCCTCACACTCAATCCACAGCCAGGACTGTGACCCGAGCTTGGACAGATGCGATCCCAGAGTGTTTGAGAGAGACGTCATTCTCCGGACACTCCATTTGGGCCAGACGAGGGTTGGGGAGAGTGCACTGCTCAAGGCCACTCAGTGACTGAGAGGGAGATACAGGATTTAAACTGGCCCATGCACTCTCCGGGGACCTGGGGGCAGACTGGTGCCCTTCACTCACCAACAGCCGGAACCAGGTTGAAGGTCTTGAGCCCGGAGGTGGCTGCCACTATATTCTGAGGCATGTCCTCATATGCTCTGAAACAGAGGCCAGGAGGTGAGCCCCGCAGAGGATGGAGCTTGGCCCCTCCCCCATCTGCCCTGCACCCTCACAAGTCCACCAGGAGCACGGAGTCCCCCCAGCGGCGGTAGCAGGCCAGCTCCGTCAGGTACTGGGGGTCTGCAGTCGGCAGTTCCAGGGAGTCCACGATGTGCAAGTTGTCCTGGTGGGAGGATAGAACAGATGGTCTGAGCCACGCCACCAAATCCCTGTAGCTGCCTGGGCTCCCCAGATCTCACGGCCCACATCCCAGGACCTTAGTGGCTCCCAGCAGGTGGGATCAGGGTTGTACCTGGGCCAGCTTGACAGTCAGCGCCACCTTGAGGCCCTGCACCCGCACTTTCATGGGCAGCATGTAGTAGTAGCTTGTGGGGCCCCGGGGGCCATGGGCAACGCCTCCTGCGGGGACAGAGGTGTGTGAACGGGGAGGGCCAGATATCTGCCCCAGTGGCTGGTGTGGGGGTGGAGAGGCTGTCAGCAGCCAGGCTGAATTCAGCAAGAGGACAGGGCCTCGGGTAGGGATGGAAAGGGGAGGCTAGATTGGGCATCACCTGGGACAGGTGACTTCCCCTCCCTGGGTGTGTGTTTCCTCAGCCATCAAACTCTGAGTGAGGGCTGTATACCTGTGTGTCCACTGTCTGCTGGGCCCTGGGAGTGCAGCAAGGAAGAGGACGGACAGGATCTTTGTCCTCATGCCATTCATATTAAGACAGAGGCTTGACCACAGAGGAACTCAGGGGTGGACAGGGTAGCACAAGAGTTGTGGGGGGCAGATGAACCAAAGGAAGGTCAGGGAAGGCTTCCCGGAGGAGGTGACCCAAACACATCAGAAGGATAATAGGAGTTGGCCAGGCAAATGGGAGATGACTGAGTGCTGTCTAGTCAGGAAGGGCACAAAGACGACAAGGGGATGGGGGCTGCAGCCACCAGTGCCTGGAATGCCAAAGTAAGAAGCTAAGACCACACAAAACCCACAGGAGCCACGAGGTACTCTGATGAGAGAGGCCAAGCCCAGAACTGGTGGGGTGGTGGGGGTAGGAAAAAGTGAACGACTCTCAGATCTCTGCCTGCACATGGGCAGTGGGGTCTGTAGGCCTGAGGCCTGCTGCCCCTGCCGTGGTGGGTTGATAAGGTGGAGGGAACGGGACTGAGGAGACAACACACCACATGTATGTGAAGAAACACCCAGACCCTGCGTTAACCCAGAGCCCCTATCCGCCCTGCCTGCTTACCTCCTCGCCAGAGAGGGGAGCGAATGCTGCCATGCCTGGCGCGCCCACTGCCTTTCTGTGGCCAGGGCTTCCGGCCACCACCCCGTACCTCAGCCCTAGTCTTGGTCTTGGCATAGCTCTGTGAGCACAAAGTGAGGAGATAGTCAGGTTTGCAAGGCAGATGTCACTGCAGTCGAAAGGCACCAGGTCCAGGAATGTAGCCGTGACCTGGGAAAACCGGGCCTGCTGCTGGGAACGCCAAGGAGGCACAGAGATTGGGGCTCTATAGTGACAAGCACAGATCACTTTTGGAGGGAAGGAAGGATAAAGAAATTAAGAATTTCTCCCTCCAGTCCAGAATGTCAGCCTCAGAAAGGCAGGGGCTCTGCCGCCTGGCACACAGCAGCTGCTCAGCATTTTCTGAATTTTAACATGGCTGCAACTGAAAGGAAGGTGGGGCATAGAGAAAGATATGGCTAGAATCGGGGAGAGGAGCAGGGTGGGGGATCATGATGGACTTCCAACGCCAGGCTGATGACTTTCTTCCTAGAGCGACAAGGGGCGGGGGGGCAGTGCGGAGGGGTGGGGGTGTGGGCGGGAATAGGCTGGGGGAGGGCTTGCTGGATTTCTGAGGTGGGCAGATAGCAGGCGGGAGACATTAATTGATAATGGCTTTTTCAGTGCTCTTGGCATAAATTCCAAAGTCCTCACCATTGCTCCTGCTGACTCCATGGCCACACTGGGCTGTTTTTGGTCCCTTCTACAAGGCCTTTGCATGTACGATTCCACCCCACACCAGCCCCACTACCCCTTTATCTAGTTAGCTCCTCCTGCACACCTGAAGTTAAATGACCCTTTCCATGGGACAACTTCCCTAATTATACATCTGCAGGTGTGACTACCTGATTTACATTCACCTCTCCAATTAGACTGCGAGCTTCATGAGGGCAGGGGTCTTGCCTGTCTCGTCCACTAGCACGATGCCCAGTATAAAGTGGGTGTTTAGAAAACGTCTGGCAAATGACCCATCAGTGAATGTTTCAGGAGAGAGGAGACGGGCCTGAGCCCAGCAATTCAGAGAAGACATGCTAAAGAGCTTCTTCTGCCTCCTTCTCCCCACCTCACCCCACTCGAGACACTCACAATTCTCTTGAAGTTCTTCTGCCAGATGGCGACCTGGTGCAGGATATCCAGCCTGTGGAGGTAGGAGACATGAGAGATCCGCTTCCACTTAAAACCCTCCCAAGGCCCCCATCCCACGAAATGAAAACCCAGGCTCCTCCCTCATACCTGCAGGGCCCTGTGTGATCTGCCTCCACCCCTTTCCCACTCCAGCTAGTGGTACCTCCAGCTCCACTACATTTTATTCTGTGAAATGGAGTCCGGCCTCTAGGCCTCTGCACTTGCTGTTCCCCCTGCCTGAAATGCTCTTCCACTGGCTGATTCCTTCTCAGCCTACAGGTCTCAGCTCAAACAAGATCCAGAGGAGCTCCTTTGCAAAAAAGAGAGCCGCCCCTTCCTCTGTCTCATCTTACTTCTTTCCTAACATTACAGCTTACTTAATGCCACCTTCTTTCTGAACTCATTTGCCTCTCTAGCCCTGCACTGTTCCATGCGGTAGACACTGGCCACATGTGTGGCTACTGAACACCTAAAATATGGCCAGTGCCACATGCTGAAATAATATCTTAGATATATCAGGTTAAATAAGATACATTATTAAAATCAATCTCACTTGTTTCTTCCTATTTTTCAAAAACTGTGACTATCAGAAGAATTTAAACTACGCATTATGTTGGCTCACATTATGTGTCTATGTTGAACATGGCAGTCAGGGTAGTTGCCAGGGATTGGCAAACTATGGTTAGTAGGCCAAATCTGGCCTGCTGCCTCTTTTCATAAATGTTTTACTGGAACATAGCCATGCTCAATTGTTTATGTATCGTCTACAGCTGTTTTCACACTACACTGGCAGAGATGAATACTTGCCATGGAAACGTTATAGTCTGCAAAGCCTAAAATATATACTATCTGGCCCTTTACAGAAGTCTGCTGACCTCTGCTCTAGACTGTAAGCGACATCAGTGCTCATTCACTACACCTAAAACGGAATCTGGCACAGAGCAGGTGCTTCAGATATTTACAGAATAAACAAAATATATTGTTTTTAACTTTTTTTGTCACCCTCTACCAGATTAGGACTCTGTAAAGGCAGGGGCAAGTCATACAAATTACAGTAAGAGTAATGAATTAATAGCACTTATTGTGGGCCAGACACAGTGCACATGAGAGACATCCTACAGCTCAGCAGTCAATAATCCAGCCCTGGGAGTGGGCCCACGTAAACTTGAGATCCTGGTTCTAAAGTTTACAAACTGTGTGACCTTGAGTAAATTTCATAACTTGTCTGTGTTCAGTTTCTTTATCTACAAAATAAGGATAACAGAACCCCTTCCTAGGGTTGCTGAGATTTAGTTAACTAAAATGCAAACAGGCTGTCCCAGGCACATGATAAGGATTTAGACATTGTTGTTGTTGTTGTTGTTGTTTTTTTGCAAAAAGCAATCACAGCAACGATAATCAACATTTCTGTAGAACTTATTAGGTGCCCAAATTAACTCATTTAATCATCTCAGCAACCTCTTGAGGTCTGAGAATAGAGACACTAAAGCACAAGGGGAGAAGGCAGGATTTGAACCCAGAGGTTCTTCATCCTTAACCCCTACAGGCTTCAGAGCTCTGCGTCCTTAATCTCTCATCTCTCAACCTGACACAACTCTGCAGCAGGGAAAACCATCATCCCCCTTTGACAGGTGGAGAAACTAGGCTCAAGTCCTGGTTATCCTGATTCCCAAACCCGCGCTCCTCGTCCCTCTGGCACCCAGTTCACCATTTCAGCTCCTGATTACCTGGGCGCCGTGGAGAAAACGTCCGGGTGCAGCTCGGCCAGACCCACGCGCTCCTGCTCGTAGCCCCGCAGGGATTCCACCCAGGCCTGTACGGGACGCCGGTGCGCGGATACCGGGAGCTCGCACTTGCGCAGTACCGGTGCCTGGGGACCTGAAGCAATTGAGAGGTCAGGGACAAAGGTCAGAGCTCCTGGTCGCTGCCCTTCCCAGGGCGACGCCGGCAACCTCACCCGCGCTCGCCAACGGCTCTGGCTTCTCTGGCGGCTGCACTGCCTCTTCCGCCAGCGCGTTCAAGCCCTGTAAGCGGTGGGCGAAAGTGAAAGACGACCCTTGGACCCTTCAACCTTTGTCCTCCGACCTCGCCCCCAGTCCCTGGCCTCACCCGGCAGCCCGTGGGCCGAAGCCAGGCCCGCACCCCGGACCGGAGTAGCTGCAGCATTGCCTCGCAGCTCCCCACGCGGAGAGGTCAAGGCTCCCCCTGGGCTCGCTCGGCGCCTCGCGATGACGTCACGCCCTCGATGCTGCCTGCTCCGCTCGGATTCGGCGCGGGGAAGCGGAGCATGCAAGAGTGAGAACCGCGGGGCCCGGACCAGAGTCCCCCACTGCCCCCCAAAACTAACTCCCGAAACCCAGTTTTCCCTTCCGGCCTAAAGGGCCCTCTGCGACGCCTGGGAACGCAACCTCACATCAAGAAGCCCCGCCCCTCCGTAGGCCTTGCCCTCTTGGTTCCCGTCCACAAAGAGCCTTAAGCAGGAACCCAGCCAATGAGACCTCTCCTTCCCAAAGGGCACGTTCCCCGTTCAGCCAATGAGCGTTAAGTCCGGAAAAGTGGTCCGCCCACGAGTGAGCAGTTCTGGGGCGGACACCTAAGGGAATATGACCAATAACTGTTAGGCTTTGGTTTCAGCCACACCCTCCCGCCCCTCGGCCTCATCTAGCCGCCAAGGCTCGCCAAGGCGGTTTTTCTCTCTCCAATAATGCGGTTTTGTTTGTTTCAATGCAGGGCCTTATCTTCCACCGAAAGCTCTCAGGATTGGACCTACCGGACCGTGCCTAACCCTCAGGGCAGGGCTATGTCTCCCTCAATCCCTTCAGATTGGGTCTGTGTCTCCCTCACCCCCTAGGTCAGGGTCCTGTCCCCTCTCAGACCTGACAGGGCGCTCCAAAGACAGAGCAAAGTGGGGAGTCCACAGATCCTAAATTGCCTCTCGAAGCCCCACCCCTCAGCCGAAGTCCAATGATCATTTTTAGGTTCTTTGCCACGTTGTCCTCACGACCTCCAGGCAGGGCCATAAGCCCATTGCAGCCTTCCCTGCCTGGTCTGACCCGATCACCTTGGAGGTGAGTGCGGTCTGGACTGAGCTCTGTGGCAGAGAACGTGGTCTCCGAGCCAACCTCGGGTTCCTCAGCTGGAAAATGGGCTGTTGTGAGACTTCGGTGATATAATGGAGACAAAGCGTGCCATTATTATTATTAAAGTTGAGTTTTGTTATTAAAGCAACGCAAGAGCCAAGGTAGGGTTGGGGGTGGACCTTGAATGATATGCTAAAGATGTGAACTTTTTTTTTTTTTTGCATCTGATATATAACATGGCTATTTATATGAAGTATTTATGAAATTTTACAATGTATTTCATTGTGTATTCTATCCCTGCAAGAATATCTGTGAATGTGTTTAAAACTCTACACTTTGCAATTTAAAAATGCCTTTTAATCCTTTATTTTGTAGAATTTTATTTATTCATTTTATGTTTGCATAGAGAATTCACACACCTGGTAAAGAAGTTTTCAAAAACTACAAAAAGATAACTAGAGCGAAGTCTATCTTCTCCATCCTCTGTCCCCTGCATCCCCCAGTACCCTTTCCTGAAACCACCACCACAACCAGCTGTGTGTCTCCTCTCAGAACCAGTTTGTGATTTTACAGACAGATTTACAAGTCTGTCCTGTGCCAAGGAGTTTAGATTTTACGTGGTGAACAAGGGAAAAATACTTAACGATTTATTAGGCACCTACCGTGTACTGCTGGGGTAAATCCAGAAGATGCCTTTGAGGTACTCACAGTCCAGTGAAGTAGGGTGAGGGATCAGAATAGGGGAGGTCTACAGAATCTGTGGGAACCCAGAGGAAGAATTCATAATGGGCGAGATCAAGGGTCTCAGAGTTGGCTTCTTTGAAGAGGTAACCTGAGAGCCAAGGATTGAGGGTCCATCATGAGTCTGTCCAGAGAAGAAAATGTGTTCCAAGCTGAGAGAACAGAAGTTGTAAAGGCTGAAAGTGGGTAGAGTGTGGTGGGGGTAGGGGTGGCTGGACCTTCCTGATGGCCACGTGCTTTGTTATTTACTCATTCATTTGTGTTGAACTCATCTCAGGGCCTTTGAAGAATATCCCTGCAATAATAACTGTGGATGTGTGTTTAAAATTCCACGGTGTTGTTCCTTCTACCTGGAATGTACTTCTCCCAGAGCTCCGCATGGCTCAGTCCCTCACCTCCTTTACTTCTTTGCTCAAACATCACCTCCTCCAAGAACTCTGTCCTGACCACCCTATTTAAAATTGCAATCTTCACCCCTGGACCTTTTGACCCCCTTATCCTGACTATTTTTTTCCATCATTGTTTATCTTCTAATATCCTGTATAATTTCCTTTTTTCCCCCTCTTTTTTTTAATGCTTTTTGTCTATCTCCCCCATTAGAGTGTAAACTTCTCCAGGGCAGAAATTTTGCTCTGGCTTGTTCTCTGCTGTAGCCCCAGCACACAGTCTAGTGTCTGTAACACAGCAGGGGCTCAATACATGTTTCTTGAGTGAATTCCTTTCTTCATCTCTCTTGTAGGGTATTACCAGAAACAGAGAAAGCCCACCCTTTGTTTTTTGGGTCTTAAGGTCTCTATCTCCCTGAAGTCACATAAATAAATGATTATTTACCCAGTGGCACTAGAGTCACATAGACACAGGTTTGAATCTAGGGGATGCTACCAATTGGCTGCATGTCTCTGGGCAAGTGGTTAGCTCTTTTGGAGTTTGGTCTCCTAATTGGTACGTGGGACATAAGCAAACCCTCCTCTGTTGAGCTGTGTGAAGGATCAGAGTTCTCTTTCCTTCTATCCTCACTCCCCACACTTTTTTTGTCCCACAGAGGGATTCTGTAAATGAGTCAGATCACATCCTTTCTCTACTTAGAACCCTCGGTATCTCCCTTTTCACTTAGGGCAAAAGCCAAAGTCATTGCAGCCCACAAGGCCCTGGAGATCCTGTACTAAGCTACTCCCACCTTCCTCCTCTATCACTCTGTGGTTTCAGCCACAGCAGTCTTCTTGCCAGACTTGTCAATTCCATGGCAGCCTCAGGGCCTTTGCACTTGCCATTCCTTCTGTCTGGAGCACTCTCCTTTGAATATCTGCGTGGCTCACTTCCTCACCTCATTCAGGTCTGCTCAAATATCACCTCAAGAGATACTGGGACTAAAATCACTGTTCCCTTCCTACCCCACATTTCTCATCTGCCTTCCCAGCGTCGTTTGTTTCCAGAACTTTCGCCACATGCTAACAGATGACAGACACCATGTTCTTGTTTTCCTGATGCTCATCTGTCTCCCCCATTAGAACATCAGCTCCTGGACGACCCGGTTCTTTGTTGTTTTTTTTACTGCCGGCCCCCATTGCCAAGAAGGGTGCCGGGCACCCCATAGGTTCTCTATATGTAATAACTGAAAAAACGGAATGTAGAGAAAGCACTCGGCACAGGGATTCCCTCCCCAGCATATTAATTAAGAGCCTAATGAAAGGAGGTAATGATCTCGAAAACTGCACACACTGCAAGGCTCAAACTTTGACCATTCTGGCCCAAGCCTAGGTGAAGGTGAAAGGTCGACATGTCCAGCCCACTCCTATGGATCAAAGGCTAAACTGCAGGATCAAAGGCTAAACTGCAGGTAACCTCTGTCTCCAGTGGTATGGGGCCAGTATTGTCAGCCTTGAGGCCCAGAGTGGATCTCTGCTGGCCACAGGCATGATAGCAATTTAGGGAGTGCATGTCAGAAGCTGAAGGGTCCCCTAACATCTGGCCTTTCCTAGCCCCCCATCGCTGGGCAAGGGTTTTCACAAAGACCAGAGGTCAAGGCTGGAATATTGGGGGCAGCCCTCATGTAGGAGGTGTAGAGCGTGGGTGCAGCCTTGATGAGGGCAATTCTGAACTATCATGGGGAACCGTCTAATTTGCCCCCTTATCAACTGCTAAAACATCTGCTGTGTGTTTGCAGCTCAGTTTTTGGGTAACTGCCAAGGAGCCAGGCAGCCTCCCAGTGAGGCATC